AAAACGAACTAAAACATATTAACGCCAAATATTCGGAGGATTTATAGAATATTGTAATATATATATATATATATATATATATATATATATATATATATATATATATATATATATATATATATATATATATTGTATTCACTATTGTATAAATTCTATCACATTGTTGGCATAATCAATTAAAATTTGTTTTTATAATTTCCCTTACTAAACTTTTTTGGAATTGAATTATCCAAGTTCATCATAAAAATTTGATTTTAAGCTATTGCTGTACTTTGATATTAGGTTTTGGACTGGATCAGATTCGTCTCGTGGCATACCGTTAGTTCGACTGCTTCTATCTTTTGGTCGCGTAGAATGGCAATGTCCGGTCGGAGAGTGCTGAACAGCTGTGACATTGGTCGGACTCCGGTCGATACTATATCCGCAAATATTAAGCAGTCTGTAGAACGACATGATATAAACCAGTTAACTATCTCTGATAGAATTTTGTTATGTCTCTCAGTATTTCTTGACAGGTCAGCCACCAACCAACAATTGGACATTACATGTTTGTTTGTTTGCTGCGCACCACAAAAGGGACATAGAGATTTGCGTTGGTCGGTAGTTGTTGAACGACATACTTTCTCGCAAACTTGTAGAGCATTTCGGGAAGCGTATCTAACTTCTTTGACCAATGTGTTATTTGAGATGGAGATATTGTCGCTGTTACCGATTTGATAAGGGCTTTGCAGAGAAACAATGTGATTCCAACAGGTATCTATTCGGCTTTTTTCGAAACTTTTCAGTGACTGAGATGCTGAGACCGATTCTGAAAGCAAGGTGTCCGCCTTTTTGCATAATAACAGCAACAACAACAACAACAATAATAATAATAATAATGTGAACTCTTTAATTATCCAAAATAGATATATAAATGTACGAAAATAAAATTAGGCAAATTTAATTAAAAATGATGAAATAATACGAAGTCATCATTGCTCGTTATCTTAAGATAAGTATAATGATGATTAAAAAAAGTATAAAAAGAGGTAGAAACTTGATCATACATTGTTTCTATCGCAATATATTGCATATGATGACGCTATTGCATTATTAATAACGCTTAATCTAAAATGGTCAGTCAATTTAATATCGATCGGAGAGAGATTAAAAGGATTGTAAAAGCCTATAGGCAATCAATCAATCAATCTTCATTTAGCGTCCAAAGACCCAGTTACCCCGAGGTAGGACGTTGTTATTTTTTGCCATCAATTTGTTGCGCCAAATTGAGTGATCAGTTGTATCCATTTCGTTTAAATTTAGAGCTTTCATGTCATGTTCGATTGTTTGCGACCAGGACTTCTTTTGACGGACTTTGGGACGTGTGCCGGGTATTTCAACATCTGCAAGAAAACATCAAAATCTTCAACATCAGCACGACGCAGGATTACGGTAGATTTGATGTGGTCCTTCAGATTAATTCATTGCATTTATCCAAGCATTTTCATATCGGTTCGGTGAAGTTGTTGTTCCAGTTTGGTTGTCAATGGCCATGTTTCTGCACAATATAAAAACACCGGACGTATCAAAGATTTATAAAATCTTGGTCGTAGTGGTAGTGGGATGTCACGCCGCATCAACATAGAGAAAAAGAGATGCCATTTATTCCAAGCTCGAACGGCAGCTTCAGCTGTTCCAGTACGATCCAAAACATACCTTAGATATTGAAACGATGTGACTTCTCTACCATAATGGCTTCAAAAACATTGCTATTTCGAATTTGTTGCTGTGGATAGATTTTAGAAAAAGTACCAATTATTTTTGAACAACGTTTGTCACACCACTGCTGACACTTGATTGAATTGTTAACTACACCAGCTATTCCAAATGTACCAGTGCTTATGAGTTTTGTGATTTCTTCCATCACAGTTATAAATAACAGTGGACTGAGAATCGAGCCTTGGTGAACTCCAACGCCGATGCCAAATGCATCTATGTTTCCAACCGTTGTGCTGACGAGAGTCTTAATATTCGTATACATTTCCATCATAAGTCGAACAAGAAATTCTGGAATAAGTTGTCGACGTAGACTCCACCTGATTGCTTCACGGGAAACTCGATCAAATGATTTTTCAAGGCCTACAAAAATGTGTGATAGTTGTTGATGCTTTGCGAGGTATTTTTCTTGCAGTTGCCTTAAGATGTGAATTGTATCAATTTACCCGCTAGGAAACCAAATTGATAATTTCCGATTGTGATGCACGACGTTAATCTTTTCTCAATGATTTTTTCGACAATTTTCAGGGAGTGTTCTAACAGACGTATACCTCGATATTATGAAAAGTTCAATGGGTCAACTTTGCCTTTGTATAGCGGAACTGTCATGCTATATTTCCATTCAGTCGGCATTGAGCAATTTTTCCAGACTTCACGGCAAAGTTGTTGTAACGTTTGGATACCTGCAGTACCAGATGCTCTGATAATGTCATTTTTGAGTCCAGAGGGCCCTGCTGCCTTTCCATCCTTCATAGCTTTCAGAGCTTCTGTAAGCTCTTCTAAAGTGATGTCTTAAATCGGACCTTCGATTGGGGGAGCGTCAAAATTGACATTGATGGGATTTGTTTCATTTAACAGACGTTTGAAGCATTCTTTCCACTGTAGCTTGATCTTACCTTGTTTAAAACCCATCTTATTTTTGTCGTTTTTGATACAAGAGACACCAACTTGGTCTTTTTTCGTACGATTTGCTTGTTTTGCTATACGATACAAAGATTTCATTTGTTCACCTTTGCTTTTAATGAGCCATTCTCTGCACTGATCTGTCTGAGCCAGTGCAACTTGACGTCTTGCTAGGATGTTTTTCTTACTGGATTGCGTTTGGTGGTCTGTGTGGCGAATGAATGAATGAATGAACGAACGAATGAATGAATAAATGAATTAAAGAATTGATGAATGGATGAATGAATGAAGCTTAT